CAGTGTTATAGCTCCTAACAGAGATTTGACAGAAAAAAATAAATCAATGGAAAGAAAATAACATGTATTTGAAAATTTTCATAAAAGTTTGGAGATCTTGCATGAAATGTGAAGGAGCGTTACAGCCGACTGGTGGTTTACAAGCTTCAAAATGTGCCGAAGTAATAATAAACAAATACAATTCAAAGAAAGACACAAGCAATGTTAAAGCTCATAACAGATAATTGACCGAAAAAAAAATCATCAATAGGAAAAAGAGCATGCATTTGAAAATGTTCATAAAAATTTGGCGAGCTTACATGAAGTGCGGTGGAGCGTTGAAGCCGATGGGTAGTTTGATGGGTTTGGCAATACACAAAGACGGATCAGATGATGCGTTCGGCGAGCGGGAAATGAGCGAGAAGCAATACTGCATGAAAGAGGTAGATAGCTGAGAATAAAGTGATGAGATCGAGTTTAAAAGGTGATCCGTTGCGCAAGGTACCTTGTTCGTGCGGGAAGATCAATGGATGGAGAAGTAACGCTCGGGTGTAAATGCATATGCGTTGATGAGTAAGTCGGAAGTGAAAGGGCATGGTGCAGTTGTCAGAAACGAAACGCCTGGATGACGGGGATGAACTCGGTCGGAAGCGAAACGCTTGGCTGCGCTAGCTGTCGGAACTTTTCAGCGTGGATGAAGTCGAGCGGAAGCGAAACGTCTAGGTTTAGAAGCTTTCGAATGGTCCGACGGGATGAGGTAAGGAACGGCTGTAGAAGGTGTTAATTTAGGATATATGTAAAAATTAACGGTTAGGTTATGAAATTAAAATCACTTCCGGATCGGATTAAGAATATGAATTAATTAGTAAAGGACCGTTAAGGAAAAAGTTAAATTATAAGCAGAACATTACGTCATCAACCTTTAATTAATTACGATATTTAGAATTAACTGAATTTAATTCTAATTCAATTAGAGATTCGAACAGTTAAATTATATTGAATATATTATTAATTAAGCAGATCATTACGTTATGAACATTTAATTTATTACGATATTTTTTTAGAATTATTAAATATTTATAATATAATGAATGGCTAATATAATATTTGAAGAATTAAAATGAATGGTCAAGATTGTGTAGGGGTGAAAACTCAAGCCCCTTTTATAATAGTAGTATAGATATATATGAGTTTATTTTAGAAAGGAGTACGTTTTAAGTCCCACAATTAGCAACAGGAATATGTTAAATACAAAATTTAAAAAGAAATAAATTCGTCAAATAAAATAAACTCGAAGAGCGAGTGAAAATAAGCAGGATAGAGAGAGAAACATGGAAAAGAGAGGGAGAGAATAATTTTTTTTTAGGACCATAATATATAATTTTTAAATATTTTTAAAAAATCAGAGGATATTTTATAATATATTGATTAATGATATATTATAAAAAAAAATCTTCATCATGTACAAATCTCGAGGCAAAAATAAAGTTGGAAACTTCAAAAATTAAATCTTGGATTATCTGAACTCCGATTTAAGCAAACTTATAGTCGAACTGATCGTCTCGGAAATACAAACCCAATGACACCAAATTCAACTCAATCCAAGCCCAAATGGGTCCAAATCGAAGACCCGAAGCAATGTTGAAAGGTTCAAACCACAATTTGGATTACCAAACTGTTTCATAAGAGACACCAAAGTTTTTATGTGAAAACTCCTAAAGAGAGAGGAAAAATTATGGGGTTTGGCCCAATCCGAAGGAATCCATTAGTATTTACGGTCGATTATAAATGAGACTCTTCCTTGATAGAAGGCATTGGTTTGATGTAACAAATATACATTATATAAAGTACATTGCTTGGCGGGAATTATAATAATCAATATAGACATATTTATTTGGTCAACATGATCATAATCGAGAGATGACGGAGGTCGAGAAGACAATAGTCGGGTGACGGTGGTAAAAAAAAACTATAGTCCGTGGGCGCTTTAGGTTAGAAGGATCGTTATTTGACGACGGAAGTCAAAAAGACCATAATTGATGGGTGTTGGAGTTCAAAAAGACCGTAGCATGGTGATAGAGGTTGAGAGGACTGTTGTCTGGAGATATAGGTCTGAAAGATCGTAGTTAGCGAGCGATAATGGTTAGAAAGATCGTTATCTAGCGAAAGGTGTCCGAATGACTGTAGGTGGCATGCGATAGGGATCAGAAAGACTGTTGTCAGAGGGAAACAAAGATTAGAAGGTCCGTAGTCAACGAGTGACAGTGGTCAGAAAGGCCGTAGTCAGAGGGCGATGGAGGTCAGAATGTTTGTTGTATGGAGATGAAGGTCATAAGAATTAGAGTATGGCGATGGAGGTTAGAAAGATCGTAGTATGTTGATAGAGGTCGGGATGATCGTTGTTTGGCGACGGAGGTCAAAAATATCGTAGTTAGTGGACGACAATGGTTGGAAAGACTGTTATCTGGCGATGGAGGTCATAAGGATCTTAGTAGAAGGGCGTTGGCGGTCGAAAAGACCGTTATCTACCGATGGAGGTTGGAATGACATAGTTTGGTGACGCAGGTCAGGAGGACCGTTGTTTGGCGAAGGATGTTAGAAAGACCTTTGTCGGCAGGTGATTGAAGTTGGAAGGATCGTTGTCTGCGACAGAGGTCGGAAGGACGGTTGTCGGTGGGCGATGGAGGTCGGAAGGACCTTTATCTAGTGACAGAGGTTGGAACGACCGTAGTCTGCTGATAGAGGTCAGAAGGACTATAGGTGGTCGGGTGTAAGTCCGACGATAATCGATGATCTGGCAGAAGTCCGGCTTCACTTAGTGGTCTGGAAGAAGTTTGACATTAGTTGGTGTTTCAGCAGAAGTCTAGGGTCATTCGGTGGTCCAACGGAAGTCCAAATGCCAGTCGGTGGTCCTTCAGAAGTATGGACGCCATTCGGTAGTCCGTCCGAAGTCTCGACATCAGTTAGTGGTCCGGAGAAAGTCCAGCGTCAGTCGATGGTGCAATGGAAGTTCGACATCAGTCGGTGGCTGACGGAAGTCCGGCATCAGTTGGTGGTCCGGCAGAAGTTTGGTATTAGTGGGTGGTCCGACGTAAGTCTGGACGTTAGTTGGTGGTCCAGTTGAAGTCTGACGTCAGTCGGTGGTCTAGTAAAACTTCGGACGTCAGTTAGTGGTTCGGCGGAAGTCTGGCGTAAGTCGGTGGTCCAACGGAAGTCCAGCATCTATCAGTGGTCCGGCATTAGTTAGAGGTCCGGCCGAAGTCTGGAGTTAGTAGGTGGTTCGTCAGAAGTCAGGCATCAGTCGATGGTCCGGTGGAAGTCCGGGCATCAGTCGATGGTCCGGCGGAAGTCCGGCATAAGTTGGTGGTCCAGCTAAAGTCCCACGTTAGTCGGTGGTTCAGCGAAAGTCCAGTTTCAGTCGGTGGTTCAGAAGAAGTCCGGACGTCAGTTGGTTGTCCGATAGAAGTCCGGCGTTAGTCGGTGGTCTGAAGGAAGTCCGGTGTCAATCGATGGTCTGGCAAAAGTCCTGCCTCAGTCGGTGGTCCGGTGGAAGTCTGGAGTTAGTTGGTGGTCTGAAGGAAGTCCGGTGTCAATCGATGGTCTGGCAAAAGTCCTGCGTCAGTCGGTGGTCCGGTGGAAGTCTGGAGTTAGTTGATGGTCCGACAGAAGTACGCACGATATTCGGTGATCCGACAGAAGTCGGGCTTCAGTCAGCGGTCCGAAAGAAGTCCAAGCGATGGTCAAGGAGGAGCTAGGTAACAAGAAAGATCTCTGATCTCTCTTCTTGCTTTCTTGCCTGGGGTCTCTTCTTCCTCCTCCCCTTCCATGTGGAATGAGAGGTCTATTTATAGTTTTCGGAGAATGACATGACTAGTAAATAGGAGGAAGATCATGGGCAAATTCGGAGTAGTTTGAATGGACGGCTGATGTTGAATCCCATTATCATGGACTGTTTATTGGGCATTTGAACATCTTAATAATATCATAATTTGACAATCTTGGGCTCGTTGGATTTGTCTCGTCGAGCCGCTCGATTCAACTATAAGCATGTCATGTTTCAAAATTGTTTGGTAATCTAAAATATGGATTGAACCTTCTAAATGCGCTTTGGGTCTTTGATTTGAATTCGGATTGGGTCGAATTTGGTGTCGTTGGTTTCATATTTTTGAGGCGTTCAGTTCGTCTATAAGATTGCTGAAATCAGAGTTTAGATGGTCGCTCATTTAACTTTTTGAAGTTTCCAACTTGATTTTGTGTCTAGATTCGTGTCCGATCAAGATAATTTTTGGGGGGGTTTACATACATACCATTTTATTTTATGCTATTTACATATCTAACACCCAAAATATTAATATTACATGATTACCACCCATAGAACAAATTTGAGTTCATGGAATGAAATATTAAAGTTTATAGGATTGTATGAATGATATAAATGAATTATAGGAGTGGTATATTTGATATTAAAGTTGTATATGGGTGGTAGGCATGTAATATTAATGTTTTGGATGTTAAATATGTAAATAGCATAAAATAAAGTGGTATGTATGTAAATTTCCCATAATTGTTTGATGATATATTATTCTTAAAGACAACTCCTATGCTACAAAGCTCTTTTAACTTTCATCACAAATTCTATTTTTTATAGTTTATATCTACTATAATGAGAAAGTACATCATTTATAATCGATGATGATATATACTGGTGAAATTATCTCAACTATATTAGACCTCGTGATATTCAAGACAGTTTTAATTTTTTATTATTTTTTTCTATGAAAAAATTTTGTAGATTTAAAAATTTCCGGCCATCCATTGCGAAGCCGGCCAGCACTAAAAGTAACAGTTGTTCCACTAAATTAAATAAATATTTTACTCTATCTTAAATTGCAATTATATTAATTAAAATACAACACCGGAATAAATTAACCTATAACTGTTTACTCCTTAGCTTCAACTTGTTATAAGTAGGAAATTAACCCAATCCATCATCAGACACCAAATACTTGAAATTTGCTCTAATGTCGAAGCCCCCTTTCCCCGTCGTGCTGCTCCTCTTATTGATATCGTCCACACAATCCCCCGCCGCCTGCGCGAGTTCATTTGTCTGCAACCTCGTCAAATACACCGTTGGCGACGAATTTTCCGGCAACGTTGAATCCTTGTTGTACGACTTGGCTGAATTGGGGCAGTACGAACCCGGTAAAAATTACTACGAAAATTACCCTTTCCGAGGCTCTCAGGTGGCCTACGGCCGCTCCACGTGCTCTGGCAGCCTCACCGTCGACGACTGCTACTCTTGCCTTTTAAAGGCCGTCGTGGCAGTGAAAAATTGGTGCTATATGGCGATTGGAGGTCAGGTTGAGGTCGGGGAGTGCGACCTCCGGTACGAGCAATACGATTTTGTCTGATTGATTTTGGAGCTTTAGGATTTCGTTTTGGATTTTCTGATTTGATGATGTTATTATTGGTGTCGATGCACTATTTGTTGAATTTCCTAAAAGAAGTTGTGGTTTGTTGATTGTTTAATTAAGAGAAATAATGGTATTTTAAATGGTCATAATGATTATATATATATTTTTTTTTGGGAAGAAACAAGGAGTAATTAAGCTGATTCAACACCAAATTTTATTTAAGTTTCCTCTTTGAATTATAAAAATAAAAAAATTGGCGACAAAATATCTATAAAAAAAAATTCAATCGGTCAGTAAAAAAATAAAAATATACATAATAAATATCAAAATAATAAATTTTAATGTTTTTTCTTTGAATTAAAAAAAAATTATTTATTTTAATTTTAATCCTAAAGGAAAAGAAATAAAAAAAAAACTTAATATTGAGTTTTGTCATGTATTGATAATTGCTCACTAAAATGCAAAAAAAAAATCTAATTTTAATTTTGATATTTAGTTTGAATTTGAATTTAAAATTTATTTTATTTTATTTTAAATCCTAAATAAAAAGCTCAAAAATTTAATTTTGATATTTATTATGTATTATTCATAACAATTCTATTTTTATTTTATAAAGTTTTATATAAATTTTCTCCTTAGAATTATTAAAAGCAAAACATTAAATTTTTTTTTCTCTCCATCCTCTCTCTCCCTGGCTCCCTCTCTTCTCTCTCCAACTAGGCCACCATCGTTTCTGAACAAAGTTTTGAAATGAGCGTATTTATGTCAATATTAGCAAGAGAAGTGTGAATGACTAAAAATTATGTAGAGCTACATCAGGTAGTCTGTAATATGTCGTCACGTGCGCTTACTCTTTACTGCGCGGCCTGATGACCCGACTCGGGACGGACCTGGGAGTTTGCATAGCTTGGTATTGCTAGGTATTGATCGATTTTGCTCGATAAAAACAAAAACTACTATTATGTGAAGACCAATACCGAGTTCAATACCAAGCAATACCGAGTTCTTTTAGGTATTGCTCGGTATTGCTCGGAATTGGTCTTCACAGAGCGGTATTTCTCGTTATTGCCAAGCAATACCGAGTAATACATAGCAATACCGAGCAATATGCGAACATAGAAATCCCGGATTCGGTCCGAGTCGGGTCGTCGGGCCGCACGGTAAATAATAAGTGCACGTGACGACATATTGTAGGCTACCTGATGTAGCACTACGTCAGGTAACCTGACGGAATAATTTTTCGTGAATGACACAAAATATGAATATGAGCGTCGTACTCTCGAGCACATTCAAAATGAGCGAGTTTTTTTGGGTTCGATTCTTTGAATGTGTCGAACATTACGGCGCATTTTTTGCATTCAAAGAATGTGCTTAAAGTTTTAGCACATTTTTTGAATATGCCTAATCCTCCAGCGCATTTCGCATTTCGAAAATTTATGTCTTCATTTTCCTAACTGATTCCAGAGAATTAAATATAATTTTTTATCATTAAATTTATATATATTTTATTATAAGTATAAATATAAGTATAATTATTATATAATTTATAAATTATAATTAAATATAATATTAATTTTAATTAAATTTAATTTATTAACCTAAAGAATAATAAAAATTAAAAGAGACTTTATATTGTTATTTAATACTGTTTTTTTAAATTAATTATAAAATTTTTTATTTGAAAAATATGTATAGTTATTATAAAAATATATAATTTATTTTAATATTATAAAAATGATATAAAATAGTATTAATATTAGAAAACTAATTATGTAAATAAATTATAAATATTATAGTTGTCATTGTAGAACTAATTAAGTTGATTATATAGGTTAATATAATATATGCAAAAAAAGAAGCTCTGAAAATTAAAATTAGTGAACATTGCTTGTTAAAATAAAATATGATTGCCATATGCATTTTGGAGTGAGAAAATGCGAATATAAATAATCATAAATTCATGAACATGATTAATAAGTAAAATAACAACATGAAATACATATTAATTATAGCGTGGCAAAAAAGCTAAAAATATTACATATTGGTCATTATTATGCGCATACGCGTTTGGAGTTGGCTTAAAGTTGAATAGCATATAAAGTCCTCTATAAACTTCTTTTGGATGTATTGTCAATCTTTTATATTCAAAAACTCATTTTGACCGTCGACAATGTTCATCTTATGGTATGTTTCAAGTAGAAATGCATCTGACAAAATATGTTATCTAGTGTAAAGAATAGAGTGTTGTACATCGATTATTGGATTTTCAACATTGACCTCAATAGAACCATCTTCATTGAGTCCGATTTCACCAATTCTGGTCTTAAGAATACTCATAGGAGCAAAATGGCCATCATGATCCTGAACCGTTGTTGTAAAAATTTCCAACCTGGCTATGTTGCATTAGTTAGGATATGAGTGTTAGTGTTATGTGTATGACACTAAATTCATCTTAGATTTAGGATTCAAGGCTACTATATTCGGTGTCTCGTAGTATGCCTCATCGATGGATAAGCCTTATATCCTTCAAAGGCTATAAACCCTACCTATCCGCATCACATGGATGACATCACCTTCATCCTTATCTCTTGTATGCTTTCAATGCATTGCTTATTTCTTTTCTCCAATTTTTTCTCATCTCCTTAGTCCTTCTAGATGTTGATCAGAGCTGTGTGTGCTGACTAAACCACTTTGAACCCTTCTTTCCCTTTAAGTAGGATTTCCTAATCTCCTGCCTATGTGTCAATCCAATTTTGAAGGAATAATATAGAATCTTTAATTGAGATCCTTCTCAGGCCCGAGGCTTGAGATGTAATTAACCACGGGGGCTTACGCCCGTAGAAAATTGAATTCTACCATCAAACAAATCCCACTCGAGTTGATGTATCGAGTGAGCGAAACCCGTTGTTTCGATCAGGCCGTGCATATTATTATCCATCGGGGTGCATTGGCGAGAGCCGTTATCCTCAATGGTTTATCATATGAGCGATCTAATATGCCCTTCCATTGGCCCGCTTGCGAAGAGCGTGAAGGCCTGCGATCGTCTCATCCCTCAAGATGGTGCGGTAGTATACCTTTACACTTTATCCCCCGCTGTGCGGTACCCTTTCAGAGGTTCACATCTATGAGGAAGAAAAATAATTCAAGGTCCGCTGCCGTCACAAGGGAAGGTGACATAGCTTCTAGTACTTTGCCTCATCAGGTTTGGTGAAAGTGAGTTTGTATGGGCTTCTTCGTCTTGCTGTGAGAGCAAAAGGAGAGTCAATTTGTGTTAGTGCAATACCCGAAGCGGAGGACTCCGGGGAGTGGACGTAGGTCAAGGTTAACCGAACCACTAAAAAATTTCTCGTGTGCTTTCTTTATTTTCCTGCAATTTTCTTTCTTTGCAAGCTGAGTTTATTGGTTTCAATCTTATCAATCAACTACACTGAATTTAGAACTTTTTGCAATAAGAATATTTGCGTGTATTAAAAAAATATAAAAAAAATAAAAACTTTTATATAAATTGCTTCTGCATGCTATTTTGAGTAGTCTATCAGAATCAAGTTTTTAAGTTGTTTTGTGGCTAAAGAAAAAAATAGCATTCCTACTTAGAATTTTTTTAAAACTATCATTTCACGCCCCTTCTCGGTGCGCCTCAGGATAGTTTTATGAGGTTTAATAACTTTCCCAAACTTTCATTATTTACACAAGATGAAGGAGCATCAAGCTCAAATCCTTCATCTCTGAAAAGGGCTAGCCAAGAGACAACACCATAATAAAACGATGAATTTTTCTCACCATAAAATCAATAGAAAGTTAGAGCTAATCAATTTGATGGCACTAGTACAACACTCTCTCACCATCACGCTAATCAATTTGATAGCACTATAACATACTGAATATCTAAAAAGGGTTAAAGATTTCAAGTACTTCTCAAAGACATAAAAAATCTAGTCTTTTATGAGGGATAATTTAAGTACTTCTCAAAGTATTACTGTCTGATCATAGATCAATTGTTGCCATTAGATCATCAACTGACCACCATCATTATATTGCCATCGTTTGACTACAATTCTCCACCCATCATCATCATACTATGGTCCTCCTATCACTGACACCCGACTTCGGATCTCCAACTAGCATCACCCGACTACAATCCTATAACCACCACTATTCAAATATAGTCCTTTGACCATCATCGTTGGAATATCCGACTACACTGACTCCTACAAATTTTTTCGCTCACCATCACCAACAATGTCGATGCTTGCCATCTCCTACAAGGCTAACGCACAGTGTCGACATCAACTTTCAATGTCAAGACTATATTTTATAGTAGACTTCATGGCCTCTAGTATCATCTCCTTAAAGGAGAAACAAACATTAAATGATTTCTCAAAGACATCTGCTAATGCTGCAAAGCTCTTTAAACTTTCATCACAAATATAGTTCTATACAATTTATATCTGTTATATTGGATCAACTTTCCCAATTTGAGAAAATGTATCATTTGTAATGGATGATATATGATATTGAAATCATTTGGATTAGATCTAGTGATATTTCTTTTATAAGTTTTAGATATAAAAACTCTAGTCTTTTTCAACATTCCCCTTATATATCTATATGTTGGATCTTTATACAAATTAAGATGATAAACTTTTAAGCACTACAACAGTCAAAATTTTTGGACATGATAGGACTGTTTTAATTTTTTGTTATTTTTTCTTGTAAAAATATATAGATTAAAATTCTGCGGGCCAAGTATTTTCTTATTTCAATTGGATTACATCAAAGATCAGCTTTAAGCACGTATCTTTTTTGCTTTAATAGTGGATGTTCTTACTAAACATTAGCAATAGGATGTACCTTAGTATATGTTTTTTACTGATGATGTTCTTTTTGTTGATTAAATTAGAGGAGTAGAAGAAAATTTGAATTATGAATGTCAACTTTTGATTTTAAATGTTTTCTTTTGAGTAGATCTAAAACTGAATATATGAAGTGTAATTTTA